TCTCCCCCGACCCTTGAAAATACTGTACTTGTTGTTGCTATTCTACTACATTGCAGTGTGTGCACTTTTAAAGATATAGCTGAGCTACTTCAAAAAAAGAAAAAAATGTTGACTTGCAGGATAGAAACAAACCTTTGAGCCTTCTTTAAACAGACTAAGCTAGAGCTCTGTCATATCACACTGAGTAAGTGAGTTCACCTGAAATGATTTGAATTTGCCCCAGTCTCTAAACCAGTTTTTTGTTCCATGTGTGTAACTGTCTACAAAACCACCTGTACCATGCTAGTTATTGATTTGACAGATGTGGTGGCCTGTCTTCCTTTTTTTCATTTGAGCAAATGCTCAAGCAAACAAGTAAATCCTTTCAAAGAGCACAGTGGTGCCTGAAAACAGGCTTTGTTTTAATGCTACTGAGTTTGTCATCACACTGAGAAAATTGTGTTGTTCAAGTTCATGGGAAATGGTTGTATTCAGGTCTTTTGAGATCCATGCACAGGGCAGTAAGGTTGTTCAGAATGACCAGCAAGCTATGTTGAGATGGAAATGCATCTCTTCGTTTTTGGCAGCTGATAGTGGTAGCATGGGTTCCAAGCAGGGAGAGGGAACCTCAGCCTGCTACTTTGAGGTGAGGAGCCCTCCTCACATTTGGACTGTGAACCATTCCCACCAGCTAATCGGCTGCAGTAGGCACTTCTCAGAATATCAACTGTGTGCCTGCTTTTTATCCACATGCCCTGCAGCATTGCTGTCCTTAGGAAAATGAGTTATGTTTTGGGATAAAACTGGTTTACTGTAGACTCTCTTCTGCAATCAGAGGATAGTCAAACTAGGCTACCTTGAAAGATTATTGTAAGGGCCTGTGAGATATTGAATGCAATAAGTGTTGGGACACTTAGGGAAACTATTAAACACATTCTTAGTGTTCTTATTGGTGCTATCAAGTTATGAGGCAGCCCTCATTTCCATGTTGCAGTTACTGTACTTCGGCTTCCCAATGAAAAATGTTATGGGTGGCCCAGATGTCATGGTCTTCTCTTTGCAGCTCTTGTTTTTTCACTGTTTCCCCTCCCTCTTTTGCCTTAACCTGTTAAGGAGGAAAAGATGGGATAGTGGCACAGTGTCTTTTGATTAGTACCACAAGATGCCGTCAGTTTAGGGACATCCTTCAATTTTCTCCCTTTTCCTTGCCTTCATTGAAAAGTCAGTACTGAACATTAACAGAAGCATTTTTCTTGAGCACTGTAGCATGTTTGGCCGGGGATTTCAATATTGCATTATTCTGCCATCCTACTGCTTTAATTAGTTTTTCCTTTGTTTTTCAAAGTAGCACTTCACACTTGTTTTTCTTTTTTCTTGAGAAGCACTTTAAAAAAATTAATTTAATTTGGCAATAACCTAAGTTTATTCTTCTGAATTTCACTGGTGGTATATTGTGAAACATTGATGACATATTTTGAAACAAAGAAGGGTGCTTCAGTAGACGGGCCTTGCTTCATTATTTTTTACCTATAGAAGAGAAAAAGGTGGTTATGTTTTACAAGACTGGTCTCTTTGTGTCTTGGCACTGATAATTAGTTGTTATGTGATTTGCTTTTATTAAGGTGCTTTTTAAAGGGTGCATCAGACAGCTAAATCTCTCCTTGAAGATTTGTCTGGGCTTTCTAAGGCATTTATGCTTTATGTAAACATGTGCAACTTTGTTCAAATGTTAGTCGCTGTCCATGTCCTTTGGGAAGCTGCACAGGTAAATATTATGTTGATTGGCCCCATTTGGAGTTTTAAGAAAAACAGCCCCTGAATGGGTTGTTGTATATTGTATATACCAGTGGTCCTCAACCTTCGGCCTCCAGATGTTCTTGGACTTCAACTCCCAGAAATCCTGGCCAGCAGAGGTGGTGGTGAAGGCTTCTGGGAGTTGTAGTCCAAGAACATCTGGAGACCCAACGTTGGGGACCACTGGTATATACAATATCCTGCAAGTGGAGCCTGTCCATGGCAGAAAGAACAGGAAACATCTAGTGCAGTGGTTCCAGACGTTGGGTAACCCAGGTGTTCTTGGAATTCCCAGAAGACTGCATCACCAGTTGGGCTCTCCAGAGATTCTGGGAGTTAAAGTCTCATGAACACCTGGGTAACCCAAGGTTAGGAGCCACTGACCTAGTGAGTTGTGTGTGCACTATCAAAGTTAGCAGAGGAGGAAAACTGCTATATGCTTCTTAATTGTCTCAGTCTTGGAAACAGTTGCTCATATGGACGCTTGCATCAGATGAAAATCATGTTCAGGCAACCAGGCATGGACATAGGATGAAGCATGCAGCATTCAGAGCACCATAAATAAATCAAATAAAACAAATAAATAATGCATTTTCCTTTACTGGGATGATGTTACAGGGGACAGCAAATGTCAGGCATGTAGTGCAAATTGTAGAGCAAATACAGCAAACATCCCTACAGTGATTATTCTTTGCCTATCTATGGTGTATTTTATTTTATTTCTACCCTGCCTTCCATCCAAAAGGATCTTCAGCACTGGCTCTGTCAAATATAAATCAAATGTAATTACACGAAGCTCTGGAATATAGGTTTATATGAAGTTACTTTTTGCTGGATCAAATCATTGGCTCCTGACACACTGCATTGTCAGTCCCAGCTGGCTGTGGCTGCCCATGGTTTCAGACAAGATTCATTCCTAACCCTAACTGCAGAGTCTGGGAATTGAACCTGGGACCGTCTGCTTGCAAAATATGTACGCTACCACTGAGCTGTGGCTTAATTATATGCCAGCTGTCATTGCTCTTGGATGATAGCTCTCCTCTTCAAACACAATTCCTACTTGCATTAAGTTATTGGTTTTCATTTTGTCACATTCCTCCTGCTAGAAGTTATATGTCCTCTACCTGGTTTCCTATAGGTGTTGAGGACAGGACTATGGAGGTGACATGACGGCACAGTAACAATAACAACTTGGTCGTCTACTCTTGACTTCCCTTCCTGAATGATTACAGGTGTTTTTGCTATGCAAGAGCAAAGAGGGAGAAATTCTAATAGAATAGGTGTTCTGCAGGAATAAAAAGGCAAAAACGTTTTAATTTATGTCCATTGTAATGCCAAGACAAATTCATGTGATTGTGATTAATGTGAATAGGCAGTTAGTCGGTTGTGCTACTGTGTTTCCCCCAAAATAAAACAGGATGTTATATTATTTTTTGTTTTAAAAAACACACTAGGGCTTATTTTCAGGGAATGTTTCATTTTTTTCAGGGTACAACAATCTACATTTATTCAAATACAGTTATGTCATCTTCTTTTGGTTGCTACACAATGGTGGAGGGTGGGTTTCACTTTACTAGGGCTTATTTTTGGGGTAGGGCTTATATTACAAGCATCCTGAAAAATCATACTAGGGTTTATGTTCAGGTTAGGTCTTATTTTCAGGGAAACAGGGTAGTGATCATGGAATTAATAATTTTCTAGAAATTATTCTACAGGTATTTGATACCTGTTCATTACTCTCAAGGTGGAGTTCAGTTCTAAGGAATGACCCTGGGGGGGGGGAATCAAATCCCTCTGATACCTGTTCATTACTCTCAAGGTGGAGTTCAGTTCTAAGGAACGACCCTGGGGGAAAAATCAAATCCCTACCTCCACCCCCACCCCGAATTACAGTTCTTTGAAATTCTTACAGGCATCCATAGTTGTATTCTGCTAAACAGGTATTCTGGAATAGAAGCAATGTGGACATTTGGTACCATTGACTGCCCCCCTTCCTTTCTACTAACTTGTGATTACTGTATATTCTGCTGTTATCCATCTAGCCATAAATTCTGCTCATTAACTAAAGAGTGTTGTATGTTTACAATAATTTAGTTAGGCTTCAGACGTTAATGTTGCTGCAATTTTTCTGTTGAGGGAAAATGAAGCTGAAATAATAGTCTGGCCAAATGTTTTCTTGTGGTTTGTATGAGCTCTGCCAAGGTCAACGCTACCTCTAGAACGTTGCTCAGAAAATGTTTGCTTGGAAATACAGAACCTGAAGCACAATAAGCTACCGGTTTAATAACAGAAACCCTATGCCTGTAGTCTGCTATTTCAGGTTCTGCAATATAGGCAGCAGCCATATTTTTAGTGCAAGCACCAATTAACAAGATTTAAGGTTATCAGATACGCCTCCCTGTCAGTAGTTACTTGTCACTGTGATTGTTTATTAGCTTCAGTGTTGGAGGTAGTGTGTCTCTCAGTACTGGCTGTTGAAAAATATGAGGGTGAGAGCGCTGCTGCCATTTTACCCTGCTTGAGGGCTTCCCATGATCATCTGCTTAGTTTTGGCATGAAGAGAATGCTAGACTATAGAGATCTTTGGTCTGATCCAGCCTTGCTTTTCTTATATTCTTAGGTGTCTCCTAAGTTGATTCAGTGGGACTGCTGTAGCTGGAATTAGCAATAGGATTTAGGCCTCAGACTCTTAAATTTGATGTTCTTTCTTTCAATATGTCTTGGCTTCATAGAAATACCTGCTCTGAAACACCCGCTTTGTTGTGTCTTTTAATCCTGCATTCCTCGCTTGACACACATTTCTCCATGTGATGAGATCCAGGCTTCTCACCTCCCTAATCAAATCAAAACAGTCACGTTTCTAGAGGAAGAAGGGAAAGCTGCTGAGGAAATAAACAAACACTGCCTTCCTTTGGTGTGCCAGTAGTACCAGATATCTAGGTAAAATAAGTGGCAGAGATACTTCTAAAGAAAGAGACTTGCTGTTAGGCAAAAGCCCAAAATAACTTTAGAGAAATTCCTTTTATTTAGAATGTGAGGTGTCTCAGTAATGAAGCGGCACATGCTTTGATAGTTTTGAGTATGTAAAGTAATCTGCCCCCAAAGACCCAGATCTCTTGGTGACTGGATTCTAGTGACAGCTCTGAAAATAGGAACAATGAAATTAAAATTGTATTGGCTTCATAATTATCCTCTTCTCTCCCCCTCCCACCTTTGTTCCCTTGTAGGCGTTTCTGCACCGGATTAGACAAAATGCTGTCGACAAAGCTGAGAAGTACATAACAGAGGAAAATGTCAAGGTAATTTCCCAGCATACTTATTTATTTTATGAATTACTGATGCCAGTCTGAGTTGGCCAGGTTTGCGTTCATTTGGTCAGTGGCGACAAATATGGAATCATCATACTGTTTTAAATGCACAGATATTTCACGCTTTTAAGAGATGCATCACAGGCAGTTGTGCACTCCAAACTTTCCTTAGTGTGGAGATGCAACAGTTCAGATACCGTGTCTTCTGAAGTGTGAGCAGAGGTTCTTTGACCAACAAATGAATGAAGAACAAGTGTGATGCACCTTCAGAGAGCAAGTTCAGCTCCTGAATGTTCCCTGCCAGATGAGTGGAAAGGCTAATTGGATATCCCCTTAGTTTTCTAGATTGCAGGCCAGAAGTTTCTACATAACTTTATACAGAGGCAAAGCACCTTAATCCCAGGCTTGGATTAAGCCAGGCTATTTTCAGAAAAGATGGGAAATTGTTTGGCTTCTACCACTCCAAACCCTCCAAGCTTCCCTTTAAAACTCTTTACTAAGTTGCAGTTGCTGTGCTGCAAGATAAGGGGAAGGAGGACAAAAAGGTCTCTCTCCCCCACCCCTTTGTTGCTCAGTGTGTGCCATGGACAGTGAAGTGAATAGAAGGTAGTGAATAGAAGAGAAAGGGTGGTTGAATATATTAAGAGTGGGAGTAGGATGGGTGAGATAGGATGGATGGAGGTGTTGAACTCTTCTCTGGTTTGGATTGAAACTTGATTTGGAAAATCCCAGGAGTTTTTAATGCTCACTTTCTGTTTGACTTGAACATGAGATTTGTATTTCCAGCCAGGAAATAAGAGTCTTCTCTTATTCCTCTAGTGGCTTGTTCTGTAGGTTTACTCTCGGTCTTGGTATAATTTCCCTCTTTCTCAGAAGTGCATCTGGAGTCTTGCTTGTAACAATAGACGTGGGATAAGAGGCAACAGGAGGATTCATAGGGCAAATGAATGGGAGGATTGCAATTGGTTCAACACTTAATTCAATTATTGGTTTAAAGCATGCGGGAAATGGACTGCATTCATCTTCAAGACTATTTTGGTGTTCCCACAGGCCATTCCCAGACCCCTAATATTCTTCTTTCAAGAACAAAAAGAAAACCAAATCAAAACTCCACTTGTTTAAAAATGCCAATTTCTACTTGTGGCATCTTGCCAAAGTGGCTGTTTATCGGTAAAGCAAGGTTCAAATCCCAGTGCTTTGTTTTGTCCATGACACCTCAAAAATGAGTTTTACAAAACAGGACTTCTAATCACTTCCTTTCCCTACCCTTCCTTTCCTTTCCTTGCTTTGCTTTGCCTTGCCTTTCCGTTCTGTTCCACTCTGTTCCACATTTTCAGGCTGCTGTGGTACAAAATGACTTGGTTAGGGGCAGAACATTGGCTCTCACCCAACAGAGCTTCCCTAGCGCCTATTCTAAGTGCTCTAATTTGTTCAGCCAATGACATTCATGCTTCATTCCTTCAAGTCTCAGGGTGAAGTGCCACATATCTCATATATGACACTTTCTCCATTGTCAGATCTACATAGGTTGCCAATATCTTCTTGAAGTCCTCATTCACCTGCCTTTGAAACCTGTACAATGAGCAAAAATCCAGCAAAGGTTTTTTTCTGGGATGTATGTACATCAGAAAAGAAGACACGGATGAATAATATTACTATTGTTTTTATTCTAATCAACTTAATGCTTCCAAAGGTGCTAAATATATCTGCCACACAATGACATATCCCTTCCAAATTCATTTTTTGTTCTTAGCTAATTAATCGTGTTTATGCCTGAAACTCCTTTTTCTTTTTTGCTTCTCTGCAGAAGCAGAGTGATATTTTAGCTAAAGTACTTGGAAGATTTAAGAAACCTTTCAAGAAACAAAGACCCCTGCTATCATTAAATTGTTGAACAACCCAACAGATGCCTGAAAAGGCTTATCAAGACTTCATTCCATCAAATAATGTTTTAATTGCAAAAAGGACTGGGCTTTGCAACTTTTCCTGTCCCAATAGCTCTACTATGGGAAAAATACCAATATCCAAATTCACCAGATTTTCCTTTATTTGAATTTGTGGAATATTCCATTTTATATAGGAACTATATTGCACTGATCCTATGTAGAGCTTGGAAGTTAGGGTTTTTAAATATTAACTTTTAGAATCCTCCACCTAAAATGGGAGTTGGGAGTTGAATTTTTTTAAAAGTAAAAATTTCAAGGTCTGATTTTAATTTTAAAATCCTAGAGTGGTTTTTAAAGGAACTACATCCTTCTATCCAGGTTGGGTATGAGATGTCCTCTAGTTCTTTTGGACTGCAATTTCCATAAGTACGGCCAATAGACAGGGATTTCCGGTGGTAGTTACTGATGCAAGGACACCTGGTGAATTCTATGAATAGACTTATATTTCCTTGATTCTAAGTCACTTATTAAACTACATCACATCTCAAATTCATGGATGCCAAGTCTGTCAATTGATATTTGTTATGATAAGTAAAAGGATAATCCAAGTCCACAGGCAGTGCATATAAGGCAAAATTCAAAGAAAGGAAATGAAACGGAACAATCAAAAAAGCAGTGTATACTTTAACTACAAGATGTTGGATGCATGAACTTTGGTGGAAAGTTGTTTACCTTACGCTCATTTCATTGAAAAGACCATATAAGGCAAAATTCAAAGAAAGGAAATGAAATGGAACAATCAAAAAAGCAGTGCATACTTTAACTACGAGATGTTGGATGAATGAACTTTGGTGGAAAGTTGCTTACCTTCACGCCCATTTCATTGAAAAGATTACTGCTCAGTATTAGGCACAGAGGCCTATGCTAGCGGGATCCCACAGAACGTACTACAGAATTGAAGAATGACAGAGTTAGATGGGACCATACAAACAATACTTATCCAGTCCTCTGCCAGTGATTATTGGCATAATGCTGATTATGTGCCAATCAGATAGTGCTGATTAGGTTCAGAGTTAGGTGTGTCTGGTTATTTTAGACTACAACTCACATAAATCCCAGCTGGAATGGCCATTGTTCAGGGATTGTGGGAATTGTAGTCTAAAACATTTGCCTACTTCAAGGTTAGATAGAACATCTCCTCTTCCCAAACAAGTGCTGCTCATAGATGTCACTAGTGCTGCTGATATATGACTTCTTGCAAGATGGAACCTGCCCGTTTAATTAAATAGCCATACATGTACTTCTCAGTCTTCTGATTCAGAGATGTGTCTTTGGAAAAAGAAAGGCACAGAAATTTGTAAATGTAGAGCTGTAATTCTAAAATGATTAAATTGAGATCATCATCCTTTGGACATATCATGAGAAGCCAAGACTCAGTAGAAAAGACAAAAACGCTAGAAAAAGTAGGGTTGTCATAAGCCAGACATGACTTGATGGGGCACAATAACAAATACCTTCTGTGTAATAGTTGCTGTACTAATAACTTAAATGAGGTCTAATTTGCTTCCCCTAGGACAGCAAGAACAGGGTTTAACCCCTCATTAAAGCCACCTGGGGAAGCACAGAGCCATTCTTCGCTTTGACAGCTGGCTGGATTGAAAAGTGCCTTCATGAGGAAGCGAGCAACTGATAATAAGACAGAAGGCAGTACATGCCAGACAGATAATTAATGCCTATCAGAACCCATTAACCTCTGCTCCAAAGCTCAATGCTTGTGAGAAGAAGATTGCAGCTGTTGCAAGCAATGACATTAGAACAGACAGCAGGTCGAACAGAAATCATACTCTATCATGGTTAGGGGAGCAATATTGATTAGCATGATGTTTACAAACAGCAGTTTACAATCATCTTGCAAATAAAGATGAGCTCATAGGCTGAAGTCTTATTTGTAAACCTTGATTTATGTTAACTGTGGTTTGTTGAGGTATCTGAATGGACAAACCATAGTTATGACCATTGTCCAAACTCCAGAGATTACAGTATTACACCATGGAGGCCAGAGTGAATTTATGAATTTACAAAGTTAAGTGTTGAGAGAGTATACAGGCAATGGTATATTTGATGTTTATTCTACCAGAATACTGTGGGCTAGTGTTATGAATATGACTACTGAATAAGAGTAACTTGTATTTAGGTAGCCACTACATGGATAACCAAAGCTGGGCAAGACATGTCAAGACAGAACTCCAGCCTAAGCTGTTGAAAAGTACCATGGCTACTATTATCATCTTTTCTTCTCTGATTAGTGCAGCATCCAGGAGAACTCCTGGACTGTGCAATTCAACCTTCATAGGGAGCGCAACCATATATATAAGACAGGTTACAAACTTCCATCCTACATGGACAATGCAGTGTGACTTCTTGGACCCTGCCTTTTTAATTAAATAGCCAAACTATCCATGCAGTGGTCACTTTTTTCCTGTTCACAATACCTCTGTTTCGCCTGGTTAAGGTGTCACTTTGCGCATCCTTATCCATCTCGGAACTAATTCCAGGCACTAGACAAGGGTTTAGAGATCCCAAGCTACAGTAGTATGGTCACTCCTGTATCTGCCCTCCCATCTTATTCCTCCTCATTCTTACAGTTGTTGTGAAAAACTGACTGTGGTTCTTGGAACTGTAGTCAAAATAACTAAGTTTTCAAGGTCTGATAATCACAGGAACTCCTTACACTGTTTTATTTTGTTTTGATTTCTTTAGAGCACATAGTTTCACCTCCCCATTTCTTACAGAGATTTGAAAATGTCTGCCTTTTCCCCCCTCTCCAACTCACCCTACTGCCCTAAGTCTCCAAATAGTGATCTCCATGGTCAGTGGTTATGCTAGACCATCATTGCCAATGTATTAGGTGTTCATTTAAAAAAGTTAAGAGGTCTTAGCAGGAATTCCTAAAACTTAAAAACATATCATAAATCATGAAAGCAGGTAGAATAAAAGACCTTTGCAATGATAAATGAAGAGGGATATTATCTAAGCTGTTAGACAAATTCATTTGAAAGCAAGATGTTTTTGCACTATTGTGGTCTCAGACTGTTCATAGGTTTA